AGTCGATAGTAAACTCTGGACTTAGTTCTCGTGCTACATGACACTTGCCAGCAAGCGATACGATGAGGTAAGAGTTAAGCCTGATAATTAGGCACTAATTCTATTGAAATTAATGACCTATAGCTGCCACATCCCTTAATCGTTCTTTTTTTCAATGACTTTTAAACATGTTAATCTTTGTATCGAAAATTTAATCATTAAACCAGACCACAACAAAAACCTTTACATCGTTTGTACATTTGATAAGATCACTAAGAAAACGACATTCAAACTAGGTACATACGATGTAAAACAAACGCGATATATCCGTACTGACTAATCAAGATGTACAGACCAAAGTGTAGAATGAACATAGTTTCTCCATGATCTACATCAAAGCACCATTAAGTAAAGAACAATATTATGAATGTCATCCATTGTTTTAATATTTACGACATCATGGTCGGCATATACATATCAAAATTGCATCACGTGTAAGCTTAACATAAGAATGATACATAGTGTGAATTATTCACCGGACAAAGGTAGACGCCTAAGTGGATAATGTGTATTAGTAACTATAAAGAAGTCCCCGAATGCCGTGATACGGCCGAGGGTAGGGAGAGTTAGTTCTCCTTCTCGAAATGCTCTCATATGGCCAGGCGTATACAACCACTGTCAAGGAAGTACTATTCACTGCCTTCTCATGGAAAGCGTGTTGCTTACGAAAGTGAGAGGACAAAAAGCGAATAGTCGATACTTTAACCGGGTTAGTGGATATAGAGAATCTACCTAAGAGAGTTAGAAAACGCTGACTCCAAACCAATGCTGCATATGGGATCCAGGATCGTAAGGAAACAAAAGGCGTATAAACCTACTGTTAGTCACCGGTTACCATGGGACTACATCTCCTAATGTTGCTTCCCCGCCTTGTAGATTAGACCTCTAGGCCAATGACTCAAGGAGTGGCCCCTTATGAAAACCAGCTATTTCTGTTTAAGCATCCATGCAGTATTCCAGTCCTCACACAAATTGAATGACTTATATGGCGCATATCTATTTGGTGCCTTCTTGCACTAATGTTTATGTGCTTAAACAGATAATAAATACATAAAAAGTACAGAATACTTTTAGATTTTATTGTTCAGTTTTAATATTTCAGAATATTTATCTTCCGATTCAGTTGAATTAAGAGTAAGCCTTGAGAATCGAGGCGTAGAACATACCACACATGTGTAAAACTTATCCTGAAGTGTATTTAACAAAAGCATACATTATTAATTATTTATTTGAACATATAAATATTGGTACAAGAGGGCACCAAATATATATGCGCCACACAAAACAACGAGAATGGGAGGAGAGAAGAAAGAAGGAGCGTAGAAGAAAAAAAGGAGAAGAACAATAACGACCAAATTAGTGCAAGGTAGTGTAATAATAATAATAATAATAATAATAATAATAATAATAATAATAATAATAATTGGGGAAACGGAAAGGTACAACTAGAAGAATTCTTTCAGTTAAGGAAGATACAACCATGTTTCATAATGAAAGTAAAAGAAGGTTACAGCAGAATCGCCATTGGCTTCTATTCTGAGCCATAGCTGATAACATCTCTAGCCACTGTGTTACATCATCCCTCGGACCCCAACCAGGGAGTCGAGAAGGATCAACAAAAGCCAGCCCTTTGAAACTCTTTTTCATACCACGACACCATGTCATGCACTGACCACCTCTCCACTTTTTCCAACCAGTCCCAGCGTCGACAAATAATGCACGACGTGGAATTCTCTGGGACGACATTCGTAGAACATGTCCAAGCCACCGGAGTTGGTGTTTCAAGATGGTGACATCAACTGGATTATCGTCTCTGTGCCCGAACACACGATGCCGAACCTCTGCATTACTGACATGATGTTGCCACTGGATGTCAGCAATCCTTCGGAGAAAGCGATGATCGAACACAGAGAGTCTTCTAACGTCCTCAACTAGGAGAGGCCAGGTTTCACAAGCATAGAGCAAAACTGCTCTCACCAACGCGTTGTACATCCGATCTTTTACAGCCAAAGTGACATCACGAAGGCGCGAAAGATGGCCTAGATTGACATAAGCCGCTCTGGCTTTCACCATACGTGAATCGATCTCATCACTCACGCCACCACCAGCACTTATGCAGCTACCCAGATACACGAACTTCTCGACTACTTCTATCTGCTCACCATCCAGTATGAGTACAGGATTAGAATCCTGCCAGTCTTGTAGAAGTACTTTGCACTTCGAAGCACATACCGTACTTACGGACATTGATTGCCAACTGAATAAGTGCGGATTGCATGGCTTGGGCATTATCGCACAGTAAGACAATATCATCTGCATACTCAAGGTCGAAAAGTCTCTTTAGGCAACAGATCCACACCACCATTACTTACATCCATCAGAGCTGTTCCCAAAATGTCATTCGTGGCAAAGTTAAAGACGATTGGTGTGATTAAACAACCCATGTCTAACCCCACTTCGTGAATGGAACAATGGAGAAAGGTGGTTGTATACCCTCACTCTACCTGAGGTGTTTGTATATAGGGCCTTTATGATGTTAATAAACTTCTCAGGCACACCGTTCTTCAATAGACAATCCCAGAGGACAGTCTTGTCCAACGAATCGAAGGCAGCCCTGATGTCAAGAAACACTACGATTGTTGCTTTTGATAAATATGACGGTGTTCTAACATTTGGCGGAGGGTGAAGATATGATCAACACATCCTCGACCAGAATGAAAACCAGCCTGCTCCTCGAGAATCAATCTTTCTTGGGTTTTGAACAACCTACGAAGTATGACGGAAGCCAATAGCTTGGACGCAATCGGAAGTAGACTTGTCCCCCGATACTTGTTACAACAACGATGTAAACCATTTTTAAAGATAGGGACAACTATCGACTCATTCCATGACGTTGGTACACTCTCTAGTTCCCAGAACCCTGTAAACAACACAGTCAGTTCCTTAGCCAGAAAGTCATCACCATCTTTAAAAAGAGCCGGAGGTAAGTCCTCTGGACCCGGTGATTTGTAGCGCTTCAAGAGTTGGAGTTCCTTACGGACTTCCTCCTCATTTGGTGGGTCAGTCGTCACCGGCCATAGAGGGCAGGACAGTCTGACCGATGTTGCCGGAGCAGCAGGTTAGTTGAACTGCCCTTCGAAGAATTCTGCCCATCGTCCAAGACGTCGATGGATGTTGGTGATTGGCATCCCGTCATTCTCTCAGATTGTTTCGCTCACACCAGACGTTTTACTGCCAGTGGCTCAGATGAGATGAAAGAGCTTCCGGTAGTTACCAGATGTAGCTGCTGCCCACAGCTCGTTAGCACGCTCCGAGCACCAGGCTTCTCGGTCATTACGCAAGCTTTGTCCAATTTCATTACGTAACATCCCTCGTTTGTGGTTAAACTCACAGTCACCCGGAGTAGACCGACGGGCTTCAATGAATTGTAAGGAACCTGCAGAAACCCAGTGCTTATAAGCGGGACGTTTCGCGAACCCACAACTGACTGTACCCACCATTTTCATGGCGTCATGCAATTGCAACCAATGCTCATCTATACTTTTTGGCGGAATGGTAGCTAGCCTAGAAACTAGCTCGGTTCGATACTTACTAGCAACAGAAGTTGCAACCAGCTTGCTAACATCAATCCGTTGGTGGCGGTCACTTCGTTGTCCATTGAAAAGTAAGGTAAGATTGGCGCAGATCAAGGCAGGGTCGGAGTCCAGATAGGTACTCCAAAAGGAGCGGCAGTCTTGTACACAACCACGCCCGCCGTAGCTGATCGCGATGTGATCAATCTGAGTCCAGGCTTGTGATGCAGAGGGAGCACGCCAGGTGGCACATCGGCGATGACTGTGCCGAAAGTTAGTGCTAGCCAGAAACAGGATGTGGTCTGTGCACAGTTGCAGTAGACGGTCCCCGTTATCTGTCCTGCGACCGAGTCCCCATCGGTCACCTAAACGACTCTCTTCTGTGCCTAGACGCCCGACCTGAGCATTCAAGTCTCCGGCTAGTACTACGATATCTATCGAACGTACTTCCTGGAGAACAGATAACTGGTGGTAGAATTCATCCTTGACTGCATCCGGGCTGCAATCTGTCGGGGCATAGGCGGAGATGACGAAAGGACATCGTTTCTCGCACCGACTTCTTCTCACTTTGATGGAGCTCTCTAGTCTAACAGCACATAACCGACTGTTAATGGGGATCCGATCGATTAGTGCTGCCCCCAAATGCCCTGGCATGGCCGAGAGTGGGATAGGCCCTCCCGCCCCCTCGAGATGCTCTCACACGGCCACGCGTATACAGCCTCTGCCAGAGAAGTTCTACTCACTGACTTCTCGTGGCGGGGGTGTTGTTTACGAAAATGAAAGAACGAAAAGCGAATGTTCGGCGCTTTAACCGGACTTCAAATCAATGGTGCACATGGGCTCCAGTATCCTGAGGGAACAAATGACGTATGAACCAACTGTCGGCCACCGGCTTCCATGCTACTGCATCTACTCACGATGCTCCATTGCCTTGTGGGTCAGACCTTTAGGTCAAAGGCTCGGGGTGTGGCCCCCTAAGAAAACCACCTGCTTCGGTCTGGGTACCCGGGCAGTATCACAGCCCACACACTAATAAAATGAAAATGACGATATTTACTGAAAACAAAAGCATACAACAGAGACGTTAATCACTAAGGTGTAATGTATATTTATGTACATGGATTATTGAAAAAAAACTTATCAGCAACTTTAAAAAATATTTCATACCCAATAAATTCAGTCATACATTAAAACGAATCAATGTTCGGAACAAGAAAAGATAAGTAGATAGTAAAATACTATGACTCCTAAATCTAAGCTTTGTTTCCTCATCATAAGCACACCATAGAATGTTAGTAGATACAGGTCATTTCTGCATTTGAGAAGAACAAAACAGATCGAAGAAGGCATACATGGAATTCAGATGTCAAAAAACTAATGAGAGAATTATTAACAACGGATGGCAGTTCCTATGGCCATAAACATGCCAAATGTACCTCCACCTTGAAACATGCCTTTGCCAACCGTTTGAATTAATTCACGTCCACGTAAACCGTATCTACAAAAAATATAGACAAAAATCTTCAGTATACATCGTTAACATAGATTTTTCATAGGTTTCGACAATGAAATCATGTCAGTTTGTTGCATATTATCCCCAACAGTCATAGCCAAAGTTGTTGTTATTATTATTATTATTATTATTATTATTACTATCTAAGCACATGAACATTGGTACAATGAGGCACCAAATACATATGCACCACAAAAAACCATTCGATTTGTGTGAGGGCTGGAATACTGCATGGGTGCCCAAACCGAAGCAGATGGTTTTCTTAGGGAGCCACAATCCGAGCCTTTGACCTAAAGGTCTAATCCACAAGGCAGTGGAGCAACGTTAGGAGGTGCAGTCTCATAGCAGCCGGTGACCAACAATAGGTTCATACACCATTTTCCTCAAGATCCTGGAGCCCATGCGCACCATTGGTTTGAAATCAGGGTTTTCTAACTCTTTTTAGGTAGATCCTTCGTATCAACGAACCTGGTTAAAGCACCGGACATTCGCTTTTGATCCTTTCAATCTCGTAAGCAACCCCCCGGCTACGAGATGGCAGCGGATAGGACTTCCCTGGCAGTAGTTATGTCAGATCCATGTCAGAGCATTGAGAGAGAGAGAGAGGGAGCGAACTCTCTTCACTCTCGGCCGTCCAGGGCATTTGGACCTGGTAAGTGCATTAGTAAAAGTTTTTAAATATGACGTTAGCCCAAACGGAACTAACTAGCAAGATAAGTAGCATAAGAAAGAATACAGTATTCAAACCAAAAGATACGATTATGAATAGGTGTAGGTAGGTATGCCAATTAACTTTCACCCAAAGATGTGAGAAGCGAATCTTACGATTTTTACTTGCCAAGGCATGAGGTGATATAAATTATATAATGTTATTCTGCGAAACTGGTGTTTTAATAAGTTTACTCTAGTTTAATTTTCTAGAAAACTAAAAAAATTTGTTATTCCATGAAAATTTCACTGATAAACATCAGTAACAGTAGGGAATCTGGTCTTGAAAAACCTTACCTTAAACAATTGAATCCGCCGAATATAGCACCAGTTGCTACACCAACACAGAACCCCATCAAAAATCCAAACTTTACTTTGGCTAAACATGATGGTTGGGAAACACCCCGATATGTATTTGGAGCAATCGGCATCGCTACGAGTATATGATCTGTGAGAAAAATTTGTACTAAGTAATATTGCTTGAAAAGTCAGTAATAAAGTATGACGAGAAAACCTCAACAAAACATTCAAACTTTTTTCCGAAGGTTTACCGAATTCGAGAAGACTGTGGACAAGCACAGACTTAAAATTAATCTAACCCCTAACGCCATGGGGTTAATTATGCATTGTCCTAATCTATCTTTATCATGACACATCGAACAACAGAGATAAATTAGATTAGGATTTATAAATCTAGAGTCCATCCATAGGGGTCTGAAATTGTTTTGAAGTTAAGATCCAATCATAAGTTTTATCACTAAATATACTACTGATGGAATTCTTAGTTTGGTGGATATTTTTCCAGGAGCAGAAAGCGTAAGAGACTGTTTTTACATGAATCAAGGGATTTTCATGCATCCAAACTCACCAAACTACAGGTTATTGGAGCAAGAGCTAACCCGATATGAGAACAATGTGGACCAATGACCCTCAACAGTCAAAATTCCCAGTCTCTCAGTATCCAATAACTTTCGGAAGAGTAAGTGTAAATCATGTAATTTCTATTGCTCCTTAATGATTGTTACAATTGAATTCCAGATCTTTCCAAGTGTCTTCATGGGGACCTCAGTAGTTCTGGTTGATTCAGCAGTAATTTGTGAATTTGTGTATCTTGAAATCTGAGTGTTTATTTCAGGGCAGTAAGATTTCTGGAACCAGCTATGAGGTTGATTGATCCCATTGTGAAAAATCCTAAAAGAAAGGATTAGACTGAGGAAGAGCTAAGGGAAGACGATGATCAGGTGAAATAAACAGATTGATCGATTAATTCTCCTTAGTAAACTTAAGTCCTGGTGTAACAACGGTAAAAGCCTTGTAGTAGGCGACTTTAATGCACCATATATAAACTGGGTTAACTTAGAAGTAGGGTCATCCATATCGTCGTTCGACTCCAAACTGTTAGAAACCTCGATTGGACTAGCATTATTCCAACACATTAGAGATCCCACAAGATACGACTTAGGAAACTCTTCTCTTTTAGATTTAGTCTTCACACACGGTGATGATGTTGGCCAAACGGCTTTTCTCCCACCACTTGAGAGAAGTGACCATGCAGTCATCTTATTCAAATTCATAGCTGAGATTGCTTGTCAAACAATTGCGCCGGCCCGTCCTAACATATGGAAGGCAGATATGCAGGCAATTAACTCCGCAGCATCGGCTGAGAACTGGGAAATTGACTCAAAGGCATCAGTACAAGAGGCATAGACTCTATTCAGGCAGTTATACAATCGGGTAACTCAACCATACATACCCTGGACTGTCCCAAAGAAAAAGAAGCACGGACATCCCTGGATAGGGCAGGATATTCGACACTTACTAAGACAAAAGAAGAAATGCTGGGATGTTGCCATCCGCCTTGGCACAGCAGGTACGATGGAACGCTACAGATCGATAAGAAACGAGTGTATAACTAAAATTCGGGAAGCTCAAAGAAAATATGAAATGCAACTGGCACAATCTGCACTCAAGCAGCCCAAGAGGATATTCTCGTACATAAACTACAGAACAAGGATTCATCATTGGATTCCCAACCTAATTAAAGTAGGAAGTGAATCTGAAATGATAGAGGAAGATCAGGAAAAAGCTGAGGTTATGGCTGACTACTTTGGGGCAGTTTTCACTCAGGAACCTCCTCTAGAGAAAGAACCAGACCCAATTACAGCGTCAACAAACCAGCTGCTCACCGTGGACTTCGACCAAAACGATGTGCTTAAGGCTCTTAGCACCCTAAACATGGAGAACTCAACAGGACCAGATGAACTACACCCTAAAATCTTGAGACATATTGCCGAATATATCGCAGCCCCACTGACTGTGATATTCAAAATGCCACTTGACCAAGGTGTGTTACCTATGGACTGGAAGGATGCAATCGTCACTCCCATACATAAAACAGATCTACGACAAGTTCCATCAAATTACAGACCCGTAAGCCTCACCAGTGTTGTAATTGAAATACTGGAAAGAATAATCAAACGGACCATAACAGCATTTATGGAAACCAATAACTTGCTGAACATGGCACAACATAGTTTTAGAAAGGGTCTATCCTGTACAACGAACCTCCTTATAGCTAGGGAGCTCTGGATTAATGCTCTAGACAACGGAAACTCAGTGGATATTGTCTACATAGACTTCAGTAAGGCTTTTGACAAGGTGCCAACTAATAGACTGCTATTGAAGTTGGCAAACCTTGGTATTGCCGGACCTCTTTTAAAATGGATTAAGGATTTCCTAGTAGGTCGTAGGCAAAAGGTAAGAATAAATTCCAAGTGCTCCATCTGGAGACCAGTACTTAGTGGAGTACCCCAAGGTTCCGTTTTAGGTCCTTTACTTTTTATAATGTACGTTAATGATCTTACAAGTATAGTACAGTCTCCAATGTTATTATACGCTGACGATGTAAAAATTTGGCGAGTAATAACTGGAGACAAAGACGCATTTACTCTTCAGGCGGACTTAAGTAATATGATAAACTGGTCTAAAGAGTGGCTAATGCCTATCAACTCGGAAAAGTGTGTCTACATGCACTTGGGGGATTCAAAGGTTAATACGTACAACATAGGGGATGTGTCATTACCCGTAGTCCGGTCTCATAAGGACCTAGGGGTGACAGCGAGCAATGATCTTAAGACGACGGCCCATTGCCGGGAGGTCGCAGTTAAGGGGTTTCGAACCCTCTGGGCTTTAAAAAGGACATTCACTAAGCTTGATACTACCATGTTCACCACATTATACACATCCTTAGTGAGAACTAAGTTAGAAAACTGTGTTCAGGCTGCAAGCCCCTGTTTAAAAGGTGACTCAGACATACTAGAAAAGGTACAGAGGGTAGCTACGCGTGCAATTCCGGAACTCCGGGGTTTATCATATAAAGAGCGGCTTGAAAAACTGAACCTCTTTACTCTGTCCTATCGCAGACTAAGGGGAGATCTAATATTGATGTACAGAATACTGAGAAGTGATTTCGGACCTAACTTATTCTCTCTTTCTTCCCACTAGATCGGGACACCTCAGAGGACATAGCAGGCGAGTAGAAAAGCCAAGAACGAACAAAATACCCGTGGCATACAGGTTTTCACACCGAGTCATCAATACTTGGAACCTCCTGCCTGAAGCAGTGGTGTCCGCACCTTCAATTGACTCTTTCAAGAGAAGACTGGACACTCACAGAAGCATACTAGAAAAGGAATAACATAGGCCGTAGGCCTTCTGTTCTTACTACACAAATCTGAATCTGAATCTAATAGCGCAAACAATACCAATGGACTGAAGTGTAAGAATAATAGGTGAGGAAAATTTATAAGAAGAGACGTGTATTCGATCCATGATATCTGTCTCTTTTGAATGGAGAGGACACATTAATGTTGCGGGGTTTAAAGTGGTGCCATAATTACGTCTTACAGTGTCAGGAATAGTCCTTGTGTGATGTTGCTTACTTGTCTTCAGATAAAATGAAGCGTTACATTCGCCTTGTTGCAACCCTATATAGTTGGAGCTGGCGTCTAAGCTATCTTTGGTTATATCAATATATTTAGTGTGAGTAGAGACGAGTTATACAGAATAAACACGCATGCAAGGCTGAGCCATGCCACCCGATGAATTAAGTTAATTCTTCCCACCTTTTCTATTGTTAAACACCTCTTCGTGTCAATTGTTGAATACAACTCTTTTCAGGAATTATATACTTGGCTTCAAAGGTCGTATGGTTACGGTCCGATGCCACTACAGCCATGTATGGAAGTCAGTGAACTGTAGAACTATGGTCTACTATGATATTAGTACTGCTCTAATAATAGACCTAATCCTAAATTTGTAGATTCGTCATGATATAACTGCCTAATCTATAAGATCTTACGTGGAAGTCACACCATCGACTACGCCAACTCACTGTATCGTATCAATTACCAATACATGATGAAGAACGAGGTTAGGTTAGAGAAAGAACAATATATTTAATATGAATAGAGACCACGCCTGCATGGCCGAGCCATGCCACTCGATCAACTCCAGTCCATTCAATTCATTGTTCGCGCCTTCTCCATTTTTAGGTATTTCTCGGCGTTAAATATTGAATATTTATTTTCTGAGTAGTCTCGTGTTCACAGCTTTGTGGATTGTGTGGCTATTGTCCAATGCCACTACAGAACCACTCTTGTTTAGGAGGTCGATGATGGAGATCACAACCAGGAGTGGTTTCGTTAAATTCCTGATTCCGAGGTCAGGCTAACTTATTTTGTTTACCTTTGGTATAGAACACCCGGTTGTTAAACCACATCATCGCAATCTTCGTTACAACGGTTGAGTGCAGTAGTTGTTTTTGTAAACGTGTTTTCTCGTTTAATCACTAATCAGCCCCTTCAGTTCCTTCAGCAGTACTGGAAAAGTGCATCTGGTCAGTGACAAGCTAGCTTTCCCTCTAATCCCTCTGGAAATTTCAGGGAGAATAGATTGTTACCATACTTCTTTCTGTCACCGTTATTGTAGTTATTGGCATAACAAGCATATGTCAGTACACTGGCACCCACTGTGCATTGCCTCAGGATCATGGAGCAGATTTTGCAATATCCAACGAAATTCCTGACCGAAACGTTTCCGTTTTTTAACTTACCTGGGATTTAGATTAACCTTTTCCAAACCATCACCTAATACTAGAACAGAAGGACATAACTAGCCAGTAAGCTCCCAGTAAGTTTGAGTGACGAAATAAGTAATAAAGATTCTTTCGTTTTCAGGCTGGTAAAATCCCCGCCTGGCTGTTTGAGAGCACGGGCCTCCTTTTCTTATAGGCTTCTATGTTGACTTGGATCTGAAGCAGCCAAAAGTAAGTGATTAGGAACCAATTATTAGCCTGCTGCCAAAGTAAGATCTTTGGTGCTAGACGTTTGCAAAGTAGTTCCTTATTTCATGCTAGAATCATATTTCTTTTATTCCTTGACTGAATGATGATATGCCTTTGTGCATGGCAGCTTCTCGTGTTGTACTGCATTCAAATTATTAAACGCTTTTTCTAGTCTAGTTGTACATCGAGAGTCAGTGTAGCTAGTATGAACATACCTATGTAGGTATTTCGGATTATTTTGTGTTTAAGCTGATTGCCTAGTCTGGAACTGCCTCATATCAAGTCGCAATATGTCACTTCATCTTTATATCAGTCCGCATAAATAGCTGTGTTCTGAAACATTTAGGAGGATTTGTAGAATTATGATCTAGTTTGATATTAGAAATACTTTAATAATAAGTCTAGTCCCAAAATGGTTGATTTGTCATAATGTGACTACCTAACCCCTAAGATCTTACGTGGAGTTCACATCATAGTCTGCACTTACACATCCTATCGTGATAAATAACAATATGATACTTAGTTCTTCTGATGAATACATTTTGGCTGGGGATAAGATAATATATTTAGTGTGAGTAGTAATAAGTTACAATTGATTACCACGTTTAGAAGGCTGTCATGCTGTCCGATTGAATGAATGTTTCCACGTCCACCAGTGTTGAACTTCGCCAAGTGTCACATGTTGAATATACATCTTTTCAGTATACTAGGCTTCAGAGATCATGTGGCTAGGAACCAATGCCCCTACATACTTCCGATTTATACTAGGCCTTGTCTTTTATCTGTAGTAGAAGCCCTGCTCCCCACTTCACTTAGCATGATCACTTTAAAGGCAGGTTTTGGTTTGAAAAACATTCTTTAATGTATCTTCCCTACCAATATCCTTCACCATCTTCCGATCGCCACCATATTCGTGACCAGAATAAACAAATCTAAAAATTTCAAACTTTGGTAGACAGAATTATAAAACTTTCCATTCCATCAAATCCGTGTCTGGATAGTAGGAGAATATTCTCAATTATGGGCGTTCATGACTCTTCTTATGTTACTCCTGAATCAGATGGGCAAAGCAGAACAATTAGTAGTGACGGAATTCATAAAATAATAGAAAATGGAGTAATCGTTATCATTACCTATACAGCTAAACTAGACAGTGGCCCTCTTTTTAATGACAAGGTAGGAATTTTCGTCGCGATCACTTCCAGCAGAAAGCTTTACATCATCGGTCGTGTTCTATCTTCATCAGATAATCTCTTAAGTGTTGTTTGACATTGATTTTTCAAGGTGTAGAGAATCATGAGTTATGTGATCTACCTTGATTATACTTTTTCTAAATGCTTCAGTACGCACAGGCTAAAAGTTTGAAGCTAAGCAGTGTTCATATTTAATACCAGTAACTCCTTAAATACTTGTCAACAAGTTCCAAAAGAACAAGTTTGTTAAGATATGGGGATATGATGCAGATATCAGTTTCAGATGACATATACAGCAAACAATGAAAACGGACGCAAGTAATTCGGAGGTCACGCTACCTAAAACTTTGGAAAAGAACTCTACACCAGTGTATAGTTGGGTATCTGCAAAATGAAAATCTGACGGAGTAATTAGAGTACCACATGAGGTAATGCTTTATAGTGTCGCAGCTGACATCATATAGTCACTGAAGTCGTCCGATAAAAGATCACCGTCGGTGAGCAGTGGTAATCCACGTTTTACAGAAAACTATTGTACTTGAAAATTTATCGTTTATCACCTCTGTGAATTTAAAGATTCTAGACTAACACTACTACATCGCATTGCAAACAGTGAATGGGAAGGCGAAACCTCCGGATACTGCATTTACAAAGTTAATCTGGCTGAGAAAGGCGATACTTTATATCACCTCGACGTTTAACGGTCCAACTTCTTTAGTTCTTTGGGAAAATATTCTCTAACAGAAAATTCTAACTTGAGAGTTGTTACACTATTGTATGAACATGCTAATAAGATCATCGGCTCAAAAAACCACTACTGGGTGGCAGTTGTAAATACAGTGGGATGCTACCTTGCTTATCTCTTTGGCACTCTCAGGCTACTATGTTTATTTTAACAAAATTAATTTCGGAAGTAGTATTATCTTTCACCTGTTATCCCTTTGTGAATCTAATATATTTTTAGGCTGATTCCGTACTATAGGATGCACTACTCATTCAGAGAGATGTAAGTAGTGTGTAACTGGAAGTGTAGTTAAACTTCTCACCACCAGAAAAGTGAAATAAAGAATGAATGAGTGACAATGTTGATATACATGACATCTCTTAAACTTGATTGCTCGAAAATCAGTGAATAAATATCATGATATTTGTACTATGATTACGTATAATTTAATTGTAGGAGTTTTTCTGTACCGAGATTTCGTACGCAAGGTGACGGCGCGTTTTTGGAAGTATCCATTTTTGAAACTGCATAACATTTTCATTGGATGTTCCATAAATATCAAGAGAAAAGCAGCTTTCCGCTGCTACAAAATACTTCGACACCATATCGCGTTAAACGTGAATCCATATTAATTCCAGATTGTTCGCAGGATACTGGTTATGGTACTCGTTCTTCGACTTTCCTTAGTCCTGGCCGCACCTCAGAGAAAGATATTTTCCCTGAAAGTATAGAAGTTCATGGACGTACCGGCATTAGAAATTCGTGAGTTGCTTTACTTTGCTCGCTCACTGTTCAGTTTACGGGGTAAGCGGCGTGTTGATATATTGTCTGCCCTGATGTCTTTTGAGAAATCGGAATATATACTTCTGAAAGTTCTTCGTTACCTGACTATTTCTGACCGTCTTACAGTACTCAGTGTTTGTAAGTCTTGGTATTCGTTGAAATTGCGCTTTCCACGGCTGTTTACCGCTAGTAGGAAGCATGAGGTGATATTAAAGGTACGTTGCACATGATTTATAAACCTGAATTTAGGAGAATTCGGTCAAGGGTTCACAAAGATCAACAACCAGCCGTAAACCGTTGAGTGCGATCAACTGTCCCAACTCCTGTACAATTAAGAATAGAGTTGATAAGTTTGATACTAAGGTAATGAAGTTTGCAAATTCGCTAAATATGGTGTAAATTTCTGATAAGTCAGTCAATTTAGAAAGCATGTGTTTAGACACCATCAATGGGTTCACTAAACCACGGTCCATCATAGAATTTTATCTTCAATAAGGCTGGCAGAGGGGATCTCCCCTTTACAACGGTGCATTGTAAATATGTCTTACAAAATTTGCATTATATATTTGGACAATCAGAAGCTCTTGGCAACATTAGGATCCAACATTCTAGTTTAATTGGCAAAAAGCAAAAGTTACACATGTTAACTGCATGTTTCATTTCAAGTCTACCACTATGGGGTAGGTGGTATTAAATAATATAATATGCTTTTAGACAATAATAGTTGTACTGTTATTCAAAGAGGGTTATGTACTAATAAAAATGCAACTCGTGACTTAAACCAATACCCCCCTGAGTTAGATTCTTGAACTGAATGCCAGTTAAATTAGGTCGTTACCACACCGGGTTGTGTCACAAGCACTACAGACTACTAATTACACAGAATTTATTACTACTTGATCACTAAGCTTTGTGATTTTTACTTTGTACGCTCGTTCTTAGTTTTAAAAATGCTTAGTTGCTACCGAAGTTTAGCGGGAAATGATGTCTATACTCCCATTGTAATTTGAAATATTTGTTTTAGGATAGTAGGGTGATTTTATTTATCAAATGTTTGTTTAGAAAGTTAATTTACTATTCAGACCACATTCATGGGAACCAACGTAGCCAAAATCGGCCAATTTGCCATTTTAGATCATTGGCATTGCTACTCACAAAAACCATTACTAAATGCACGTTGTGACTTTAATTTTTGGTGAGCCTTTTATTTTCTGTTTACGACTTTCTTCATTAAATCTCTTATTATCACAAAGGAGTTTTTGCATCCATGTCCCGTATGCTCTGGAGTGGCGTTTTATAGACCTAACGAATGGCCGAATCGTTTGCATTGTCAGGCTTTGGACTGTGGTATCTCTGTTTGTTATAATTGTCAGCGGGAGCACTCGCCGAGTGATAAATGTCAAATGACACCAAACTCGCCAGTATACAGGTATGGTTCTTTGTATTGTACGTCTGATTTTCTCCAGAAATTATTTCAGTTTGTTTGTATTTCGAGGTCTCGAAATTTATCGTCACTTTGGTACAATATCAAGTGTCTGTGTAGCTATTCTTTAAGTTAGTGTACAGTGGTGCCATGACGATACATTTTGAAAGTGTTCCTTAAACTAGATAATAATATGAATATGTACGGACAAAGGAGTGTTTATGTTTAAATAAAAATAGCCATGGATTCCAGGTTTGATGTTCCAAATATATATATTAGTATTGAGTATAAAACCGTATGTTCAAGTGTACTCAGATATGTAGTCAATAAGAAGCAAGTTCTGATTCAGGATCTGAATTCATGAAAAACTTGTATATGCTAACGTTCCACTGACAAAAAAATCACACAGTAGGGACATGTAACAATTAAAACACTAGTCTGTTTGTTCAAAGTGGTTTTTGTGTTGAATTAGCAAAAACTCATCGCCACTTAAATCCCAGAAGCAGCTTAACGTAAACTTGGCAATGCTACTGTCATTCCACTAATTAAGCTCCTTACTAACTGACGACACTGCCTCTATAAAACTTGATATAACGTGCATGACTAGATCTGACATAAAATGTTATGTTATTTGTGAACGAAGTCTGACTTCGGCATGAAACAGCTATTTTTATAGCCAAAAGTATCACATGGACGACCTGCACGCTCTTTGTCTAACCAGAGCCAACCCACCTATGACTCACCAAGTAGTAAGTACCTCAACCCCCTAACCAACAAATATGGCTCAAGACTAGTTGAAAGAACGTGTGACTGATTTTAATAACAGCAGCTAGTTTAGACACGAGTAGTTTAAATACGCTGCTACCGGTTATTTCATTTAAGACTTGTCCCGAGGACTATGATGTGCGAAATTCCCTTTGCTTGCAAACTCTCATTAACATTGAATAAGTTTCTCAGGTATCAAAACGTAAGATACTTCTATGACGAGGTACATAATAAGTGTTCCCAGAGTCCATTAGCTAATCATAAACTTTTAAACCTGCCATTTGCCATATGAATACTGATTTAACCAGTTAAAATTATTGATTTCGAAATTTAGTTGTTACTCTCACAATGTTGAACTGCCGAAAATTCATATACTATCTTATCTTGTTTAGATTGTCTCCCATTCAACCTCGGGCATCCCCAACTCGCAGTCCAAGAGCCCGAGCCCGGTTAATGAAATCTTCTCTTCGTCGCTTGTAATTGCTTGATTTTACTGTACCGTAGTTCTTTCATATGTACATACTTTTTGTTTTAAACTGTTACCCGTAGTTTTTATCATAATATATACTTGTTTTTGCCTGTTTCGCTAATTGCTGTAAAATGTGAAGCTCACGATAGTATCTATTTACGTATGTGTTTGGAAAGTATGTAGTTAAGTAGTCGTCAACCAAATAAACTTATCACTTTACATCCTAGTAAATGTTTTGACACCTACGCTATTTATACAACAGCTCGATGACTATATTTAAAAGAAATGTAACCATAGGTATAAGAATATTGTATTTGTATGATACAATGTGCAAAACTGTCAGTAATTATAAGAAGAAGCTGCTTATAAAACAGTTTCAGCTACTCATTTACAGAGCTTATTCCCTTACTAAGATTCGTTTGTTAAATTAGGCTTCCAAAAACTTTGGTTTCTCATCAAATGAACTCGAGGAGTTAGTGATTTTAGAATTAGATGAAATGGGTGAGATGATAGAGTAAGATACATCGGCACTTTGTGTCCACAAAACTCTCCTGGTTAAATTGATAGCTTGATCACGTACTTGTACAGCTGCTGTCGACACTGTGCTGGATATGTGGCTTAGTGTTCGTGAGTTTGTAGGGATTTTGGAAAGAAACGTCAGTGTGTACATCTTGGTTGCATTGAGTTGGTCTTCGTTTTTGTGGCTGTTTATGACTTAAACTACAAGAGGATTTCAAACGGGGAAAATTAACTTTATTTACTAAACACAAATCCGAACAGACCAGCAAGAAAGCATAGAATAGTGACATGTAAGTGCAATAATCCTGAAAAGAAATCTCTGACAGAAAACACAACCACCGTGTTAAATCACACAAAAATGAATCAAAAACTTGCAAACAAACAATGTATTAAGATTAAGCACTGCATCCATACACATGTAATTTTGAAGCAAACTAAGATTAGCGAATTAAAATAAAGCATTCTTTTGCATATTTACCATTGCTGGTAATCGTATAGATACAAGTGTAATACCTTAACAGCTCTTCATCATTTAGATCCCACGAGACAAGATCGATGCCTACTTCAACTGGTGGACTGCAAATAATAAATCGAATAGAAACCATTGAGAATGTATACGAGTAATTCTTTTCAAAATCGATGTGAATCATACACTTTCTGGACTTACTTTGTAATGAATTGGTGGTTCATATTGAGTTTCCAGAACTTAATTCTGAAGGGGTTGGAATTAGTGTTCCGCTTCACATAATTGTCTTACTAACTGGAAGAGCAATAGTTGCACATTTTACATTCCGAAATCTTCCAGAGTATTGTATTATGCGAAACATGTTGGTTACTTTTTAATTATGAGTTATGGACTAAACACCTAAGTCCTAACCAACAGATAGTCATCACTTGAAAGCGTATCCACTGAAATGTTATTGTTAGCTGAGTTACATCACAAGTTACCGTATAGTAGTTATGGTTTGTGACTGAGTCTATGTGTTGTGTTTGATCATCGCATAGCACTTTCTCAGAAAAGTCGCAATCTCCAATAGGGTAGTAGGTGATATCTCCATATATGCGTAGCTCGACAGTCTAATCTAAACCACTTGTCAACAAGTGTACCATAGGTTATGCGTTAAACACAAAATTCCAGTTGTCATTGTAGTTCCCTTCGATAGTGAGATAAGTTATATTCATTTAATGAATTCCAAGAAATAATAGAATCATAACTATATAGAGTAGTAATATTTTGAGTGTGTTATATGCAAAACTAGGGACTTACGCGTTCATGCGTGCATAATCCAACTGAAGTTTAGTAAATAAGCTCGACTTCAAGAGCTCGTTAATCCGGTTAAAATGTACTGTAGCTTTTGAGATACTTCTAACATTACTAAATACATATATGATGGCAGAAAAAAGAGTTAAATGACAGTAAATTATATCATCTTGAGCGATTTGCAAAAAAAATTAAGTTTCTGATATTAACTGTGATATACACTTTTAAAACCCTATTAACACCACACAAATATAATAAAAACTACTTTAGGTATTTAGAGTTGCATTAGACTTTATGTACCGTTCACAGTTGAAATCTAAATAAAGACAAGGGAAACATGTTTGACATTTGTCTACTTGTGATCATTATGGAGTTATCCGACTTGAGTAAAGAGAGCACACAGTACGAACTGATTCATGCTGCATTGACAAACATGTGTAGAATACAAGTACCAATAATGAGTTCCACTATGGCATTTATAGTGTGGTGGGACCAAGAAGTAAGTATTGCTGTCAGGCATCATAGTTTAAATAAGAAGAGGACGTTAGTCAATGAGGTTTTAAACTATGGTGTAATAAATAATCGGGAAGACTAGTTGTGAACTGTGGTAGATAGATGTATTACCATCTACAGAAGTAAATTGACTAGTTGAGAGGTTTTACTTTCATAGCTACTAATTATTTATCTTCTTTTACCACATTGACATAAGATGTAACGACCATAAACGATGCGTATTTGTATCACTTAATAACTTGTAATTTCTGAGTTTCTCTGGATAATTACGAAGACAATTTGAATATTTGCCACGGACTTTTGGACCATTATTCTAACATTTCGGTTTATAGTTGTTAAAAGTAGGTATTTAAAGATACAAGACTTACTCAAGTGCATAGTCGAGATCATAACAAGAACCACGTAACTGTGAATCTAAATGTTCGACTTTCAACTACATATAAAGAATATTACAAAAATATAAGAAATTTTCAACTTGGTATTTCAAGATTTCTGGAACTGATTTTCTAATATGTTCTTGAATATGGAAATAAGCCAGTGAAGGTTCATTTGCAAGTGAAATAAGTAGGTCAGAAGTGGTTTCAGTCACTACATTAGCACAGAATTATGAATTCAAAGTACTTAACTACCTTTCTGACTTAATGATTCATTCATTACATTCGTTTTATTTGACGATTGATCTTTTTCTAAAGATGCCATTTAATTTGAAAATATTGAAAAGTACCTTTCTTGTTCAACAAGAAGTTTACACTTTTCTCCATCAGTGTTTATGAATAAATAAAATTCACTGGTGACAAAATAATTTCCATTTTCGCTTGTAAGTGAATGCCACTCGGCACATAACGATTTGTTAATACACTATGAATCTGAAAATAAAACGCAAAAAACCATGATCTTATGTAAACCCTGGCCATCTCAAGTAAATCCAAACTACAAAATCTGTTGGTATTTGTCAATTTACGTAATAATAATATTATCTGCTCCAGTCTTGGGCAGAACTAAAAGCTGAAGTGTCTACACTGGCCCTGATAGTATCTCTAAGTTCGTTCAAATGAGTATGAGGTAGTTACAAAGTGCCATCTAAAGTCCCAAATGGTTATGTAAGAGAGCTATTAAGCAGTTGATAAATAAGACCAACCGTTAACGGTTACTTTCTTGCAAGTAAGTATATACCAGATTAAGATGTTGAGGGTAGTGTGTCGAGAGGTTCATGTAACCGAACATACAACTATATCACCCCAATAAGTTTCCATTAACCAAATGATTGTAGCCATAAAGAAATTCGTAATTGCAAATCGCTATCATTTGATTGCAATTGTAATAGGTGGCGGGTTAACCTGCAAAATGTCACTTATTCAATTTTTTATGTGATGAACAATGTGAACGTTTTAAATATATGTTTAAATGCTCTCTAATGCGTAGAAACGAAACGATATGAAGCTACCGAACACATACTTTTAGTAAAAGTGGAGCATATTTTACCTTAGCCGCCAGGTAAGTTCAATGCTTCATACGGTTCAAATGGTTCAAATGGTTGTGGACGGAATAGAAGAAGCTTTCGCTTAACAGGCTTCCGTGTCTAGTAGCAGGGGATCACGAAATCCTCCAGGCAGGAACCTAGGTATGTTAACAATAAAAGAGGAAAAGAAATTGGTAAATCATAGTGTGATGCTGTCCTTGGTCCTTAAGAATAGGTCAAGTTGCCTCTTGAAGGACTCCTGAGAAGTCGCTTGGACTAGCTCGGTCGGCAGCGAATTCCAGCTTTTGACAACTCTTAAGGAGTAGAAGTTGTGTCTACATTCCGTCTTGCTATGTTGTGTTTCCAGTTTCTGGGTGTTACCCCTTAGGTTATTATTCGAACTAAGCTTAAGTAGGTGTTTAAGAGGATGTCCAGAAGTGTTAAGAATACTATAAGCCATTAATAAATCACCTCTAAGACGCCTATATTCTAGTGGGTAAAGGTCTAGTGAACGGAGGCGTTCTTCGTAAGGCTTAGATTTGAGTCCTCGAACTGATTTCGTGGCTCGCCGTTGGATACGCTCCAAAGTGACCTTGTCCTTTTGGAGTGAGGGGGGAGTACTATGTTTCCGTACTCTAAATGGGGACGGATGAAACTATTGAAGATTGTGTGGAAAGTTCTTCCGTCAAACTGGCCAAAAATGCGCCTCAACGTTACCAGTGCAAGGTTTGCTCGGAAGGCATTTTTGTCACAGTTAGCGTAGGACTTTAAGTCATGGGGCACCAGGACTCCTAAATCTTTTTCGACTTGGGATACTACTAGAGAGGAGTTTCCTAAGTTGTAACTGTAGTTTGCGACATGTCGCAGATGGACTACTTTACACTTTGAAGTGTTAAAGGTAAGTCCGTTATCGTCTGCCCAACTTTGAAGTCGCGTCAGATCCTCCTGAAGTGCCTGTGTATCGTCTTGGTTGCGTATCTCTCTCCAAAGTTTCACGTCGTCGGCAAAAAGTAATAAGTCTGACGTTACCTGTTGAGGAAGATCATTTATGTAGGTCAGGAAGAGAAGAGGCCCTAGTACTGAGCCCTGTGGGACCCCACTAGGACATTCCATAGCCTGAGATAAAGTGAAATTAACCCTAACCTTAAAGTGTCGATTTTTTAGGTATGAAGTAAGCCAATCGATTAGAGGTGGTTTGATACCTAGTCGTTTGAGCTTGTTGATAAGACATGTATGGTTAACCTTATCAAAAGCTTTTGAGAAATCAAGGTAAATGACATCAACCTTCCCCTTGCAATCGAGGATGCTTGTCCATCTGTCCACCGCAGTCAGCAGGTTGGTTATACAAGAGTAACCCTTCCTGAAACCATGCTGTTGGGGTGAGAAGAAATTTAAGGACAGTAGATAGTCATTTAAACCGTCGCATATCAGGGACTCCATGAGTTTTGAAGGTAATGACAGAAGAGCCACCGACCGATAACTTGAAGGTTCATTGCGTCGACCACCTTTGAAAATTGGTGTGATGTGAGCCAACTTCCAATTTTCCGGTAATTTGCCTCGGCTAAGCGAGTGTGAAAACATCACGCTAAGCGGCGTTGCCAGGATTGAGGCTGCCTCCCTCAGTATGGCAGGATGAACCATATTCGGGCCAGGAGAAGTGTCAAGTCTTAAGTGCTGCAATTTCCGGAACACCAAGTCAGCGCTTAGGTCCACTTCAGAAAGTCCTGTGGAATTGCAGATGAAACTGTCGTCAATAAAGTTGATGTCAGCCGGTTGAAATGTTTGAGAGTAATGTGCCGCCAGAAGGTTAGCGGCGTCGCCATCGTTGTTGGTCGGGCCGTTAAGACCTAGCAGTTGGGAAACTCCAGTTTTGGCTTGACGAAGAGAGGCTGCATAACGGAATAGGCTTCTAGGGTTAGAGGCGAATTTGTCCATAAGCTTTGTTTGGTACTGAAGCCTGTCTTCTCTTATAGCCTTCGTGCATATGTTCCTGATATGTTTGTATTGCCTATACGCTCCATCGTTATTAGTTCGTTTGTATTCCGCCCAACAGTGCCGTTTGCGGCTTAGCAGGCAAAGGGTACGGTTCTTGATTACTGTAAGTGGCTTGCAGCTTTTGGGAACCGTTTGAGGAACTGAATGGTCTGTAGCACATAAGAGCGTGTGCAGTAAGAAGTCCCAATGACCATCCACATCAAGTTGAGGGTGAACATCCCAAACCACCTGTTGTAGATAGTCATGTAGAGCTGGCACATTCAGCCGTTTAAAATTCCAACGCAAATTATTGTTGGGATACCTTAGCTTAGTTTTGATGACAAAACTGAAGGCTATGACGGCATGATCGCTCTTTCCCAGAGGAGCCAGGATTGAGAGGTTGTCGACTAGGAATTCTTCGTTAGTGAATACACAGTCTAAGCGCGATGGTGTCTGACTGTTTCTCCAACGAGTTGAAGATATCTTACCTCAAGGTCAGTCTTCGGAGGCAAGGTTAGGTCTACTGACCTATATTAATCTTTGCAGTCTGTAGAGACCCAGTCTCATTCTGAATATATTAACAGAAGGTGCTAATGTTACGTGTTTTCAACTCATCCGAGCCACTGGCAGTAAAACGTCTGGTGTGAGCGAAACAATCTGAGAGAATGACGGGATGCCAATCACCAACATCCATCGACGTCTTGGACGATGGGCAGAATTTTTTGAAGGGCAGTTCAACTGGCCTGCTGCTCCGGCAACATCGTTCAGACTGTCCTGAGTAGAACTTCTCTGGCAGAGGCTGTGTACGCGTGGCCATGTCAGAGCATCTCGAGGGGCGGGAGGGCCAATCCCACTCTTGGCCATGCCAGGGCATTTGTGGGCAGCACTAATCGATCGGATCCCCATTAACAGTCGGTTATGTGCTGTTAGACTAGAGAGCTCCATCAAAGTGAGAAGAAGTCGGTGCGAGAAACGATGTCCTTTCGTCATCTCTGCCTATGCCCCGACAGATTGCAGCCCGGATGCAGTGAAAGGGAATTCTACCACCAGTTAACTGTTCTCCAGGAAGTACGTTCGATAGATATCGTAGTACTAGCCGGAGACTTGAATGCTCAGGTCGGGCGTCTAGGCACAGAAGAGAGTCGTTTAGGTGACCGATGGGGACTCGGTCGCAGGACATAACGGGGACCGTCTACTGCAACTGTGCACAGACCACAACCTGTTTCTGGCTAGCACTAACTTTCGACACAGTCATCGCCGATGTGCCACCTGGCGTCCTCCCTCTGCATCCCAAGCCTGGACTCAGATTGATCACATCGCGATCAGCTACCGCTGGCGTGGTTGTGTACAAGACTGCCGCTCATTTTGGAGTACCTATCTGGACTCCGACCCTGCCTTGATCTGCGCCAATCTTACCTTACTTTTCAATGGACAACGAAGTGACCGCCACCAACGGATTGATGTTAGCAAGCTGGTAGCGACTTCTGTTGCAAGTAAGTATCGAACCGAGCTAGTTTCTAGGCTAGCTACCATTCCGCCGAAAAGTATAGATGGGCATTAGTTGCAATTGCATGACGCCATGAAAATGGCGGGTACAGTCAGTTGTGGGTTTGCGAAACGTCCCGCTTTTAAGCACTGGGTTTCTTCAGGTTCCTTACAATTCATTGAAGCCCGTCGGTCTACTCCGGGTGACTGTGAGTTTAACCACAAACGAGGGATGTTACGTAATGAAATTGGACAAAGCTTGCGTAATGACCGAGAAGCCTGGTGCTCGGAGCGTGCTGATGAGCTGTGGGCGGCAGCTGCATCTGGTAATTACCCGAAGCTCTTCCAACTCATCCGAGCCACCGGCAGCAAGAAGTCTGGTGTGAGTGAAACAATCTGCGAGGATGATGGGATGCCAATCACCAACATCCATCGACGTCTTGGACGATGGGCAGAATTTTTTGAAGGGCAGTTCAACTGGCCTGCTGCTCCGGCAACATCGGTCAGACTGTCCTGCCCTCTATGGCCGGTGACGACTGACCCACCAAATGAGGAGGAAGTCCGTAAGGAACTCCAACTCTTGAAGCGCTACAAATCACCGGGTCCAGAGGACTTACCTCCGGCTCTTTTTAAAGATGGTGATGACTTTCTGGCTAAGGAACTGACTGTGTTGTTTACAGGGTTCTGGGAACTAGAGAGTGTACCAACGTCATGGAATGAGTCGATAGTTGTCCCTATCTTTAAAAATGGTTTACATCGTTGTTGTAACAAGTATCGGGGGACAAGTCTACTTCCGATTGCGTCCAAGCTATTGGCTTCCGTCATACTTCGTAGGTTGTTCAAAACCCAAGAAAGATTGATTCTCGAGGAGCAGGCTGGTTTTCATTCTGGTCGAGGATGTGTTGATCATATCTTCACCCTCCGCCAAATGTTAGAACACCGTCATATTTATCAAAAGCAACAATCGTAGTGTTTCTTGACATCAGGGCTGCCTTCGATTCGTTGGACAAGGCTGTCCTTCTTTATCAAGTTTATAAGTTGTGTTAATTCCAAGGTTGCATATAAACCGTGCATAGGAGAAGTAACACTTTAGACGACCGTTCATGTTCTGATGCCTCACAAGGCAAAACAGTATATGCGATAGTCTCAATTTAAAGTCTCACCTCTGCTGAAGAGGTCTCTTGACTTCATGTCCTGCTGATCTTCGTTTTTAATTTACCACAGCCTTGTTTGGAAGATAATTGTGTCGCATCTGCTGTTTTATAACAAACGAACAAGTCGTATGACAGCACAACCTGCAATTTTCTGTAAAATATTCCCAATTTTTTTTATGAGTGGCAGTGGAAGTGCAGTATTACTAATCGCAGGGCTTGGACGAAGGCAAACATTCAAATTTTAGGTTGCCGTAAGAAAACTTCCAAAATGCCAGACCAAAGACAGAGTGTAACCAAAATGTCCGAGCTCAAAGTTATAAGCATATGTGTTCGAAAGTTGAGTAGAACAAGTGCATCAAAAACAGTGAAATTATTAATATTCTATTTAATAGTCTTTAATCAGTTAGGTACTTTCAGTCCTGTAACACTCAAGATGAA